TCAGGCTCTTCCATGTGGCGATGAATTTACATGTTAAAAGGAGAGGCTTGTAGCAAGTACGACTCCTGGAAATAGGCTATTCAAAGAATATTCTTCACAGTGGGGAAAATAAATGAGACACCGTTGAGGTAAACCACATCCAAAAGACTGGATTAGCAATCTTTGTCTGAAAGGATGTAAATATTCTCCTGGTCCTAATTGGATCAGGAAAGACATGGGGTCTAACTGATGCACACCTAGGGACAGGAAGTTATTTACATATATAGGCTCCCCAAGAATTCAATGGAATTATGCAAACAGTCAGATAAGAGACCATATTTAAGCCTTGCCATAAGAGCAAGTCTTTGACTTCAGTTTTCCCAGACACAAGGGGACATTTTCATTCAGGTTACTAGCTGACAGGAGAATTTGCAACAGCTGCTTTCTAACCTGTCAAGCAGAGTAGAAGCTGATGTCTTAGGTTTAAGATGCAGGATTAAATATCATATTATTATTTTAATGTTTCCTTTAGTTTTTTTGTTTGTTTGTTTCAACGCTTTGTTACTGGTTTTTATGACTGCTCTTATTTTGATAATAAATTGTTTTGTTATCTCTCATAACTCTGTCAGTACATTCATTTAGAATTTTAGAGCATCTGACCAAACAGGCAGGCCTCTTCTTCAGAGGATGGGCCCTGTAATTTCTGAGTACAAACTGGATAAAAGGAGTGATTCTTTAAAACTGGAAAAAAAAGTCTCTTCTGCCAAAAGCTAGCACAACCTGGGTGACAAAGGTAAAACCGATGTACCAAAGGCCAAGGAGATGGTTCCTGGCACATCTCAGTGGCCAAGCACAGAGAGTAGAGAGGAGTCTGGGGCTGAACGACACCCTGAAGGTGTGAGTGCACCCTAGGGTACATCTCAAAGGCACAACTGACTGAATTCCAGGTTGGGGGGCATTGCATCCCACAAGCTCTTTATACCACCACTTTCCCATAAAGGGTGGTAGAATACACTAAGCCTAGATTTAAAAAGGACTTAAATAATTAATTATAGATCTGTAAAAAATCCTACATGTATATTGAAAGAGCAGATGAAGTAAGTGAAAATACAAATCAACCACCTGAAAGATCATGGTAAGATCTAACCATAAACGGGGTAGAAATCAAGTCTTCGAGTCATAAAAAGTAGGGCTGGAAGGGACTCAGAAAGTCATCTAGTCCGACCTCCTGTTCAAGGCAGAATCATCCCTAACTCACCCTAGACAACAGGGCTGTGAGAAGCTTCAGGCGCCGATTCGATTCAGAGGAGATTCAGTCCGATTCAGTGGTCGAATCTCCGAATCCAGACCGAATCACGGGACCAATTAAAAGGACCGAATCGATTCGAAGCTCTCCGCACCTTCAGAAAAGATTCAGAGAGCCTCGATGATTTGGGCAGTCCCTGGTGGCTGCAGTAGGACTCCGAGCCAGTAAGTAGGGAATGGGGGAGGGGACCACAGGGGAGCCCCTGCCAGGCCCCATCCCCTGCCTGCTTCCCCAGCCCCACGTCACGGCTGCTCCACCCGCCCAGCTTCCAGTGCTTTAAAGAAAAGCCCCACTCACCGGGTGCTGCCGGGCAGGGGGACAATCCCCACTGCCCCCCACTGGATGGGGAGCTCTGCAACCTGTAATCAGTTGTGCTTATCTTAATTTACTGACACATTCAAAGAATTCTAACAGATAAGAGTAGCAACTGACAATTTCTTAGCATTTCCAAATGGCTTTTGAGAAGGTCACGGAAAAGACTATTAAAAAGATTAGAAATCATGGGGTAAAAGGCAAAAGCTTTGGCAAAGTAGCAGATGGGAAACAAAATAGTATTAAACTAACAATTTGTTATGGCACAATTTGATAGTATGTGTTTCGAAGTGCTCTTCTAGATCCTGCTTTATTTGCAACCTGGAAATAGGGATGACCAAAAGCACAGCAATATTTGCAGATGACAGGTATTTAGGTTAGTCAGGAACAGAATGCACTATGAGAAATTAAAAGTAAACTAAACTCAACAGTTTAAAATATTCTGGTGCTACTGGAATCTTGAAACGTTCAAAGCACCTTATAGGAAATGGAAAAGTCCTTCAAAAAGTTCTCCAAAATGGTTTCTCTTCTACCCCAAGGAGGTCCTGCAAGTACCAAGTCATCTACATATACACAATGCATTTCAGTAAAATGTACTGGCTTACTATTCAACTAAGGTGACACTTGACCTGGATTGTGTATAAACAGGGAAGGAAGAGATAAAGATCAGTTTGGCCTCTTCTTATCATTATTCACAGAAAACTTGAGGAAGTCATACCAAATACCATTTTCCACTGCATACTGCAGGGACTTATTTGTAAATGTTTTTGAACAGGTTTGGCTCATCAGATTCTTGGCACCTGTAACTATTCAAAGCTTTTAGGGACCTACCTGACAAGTTGAGGTCAGCAAGAACAACATTTGTGAGGAAACCATGCATATCAAAATGAACTCTACCATTCTTCACACTATCTGTAATGATAGATTTCACAGAGCCTAGAGCGAGCATACAGGCTTCATGTATCTTCCACCTAGAAAAGAATTTAGATGCCTTTAATTTTCCTACATTTGTTTTGTAATATATGGCTTTTTTAATAACCTAGAATCATCACAAACTTCCCTCTATTATTTCCCATTCTCCAAACAATGTGACCCACTTTACTTGTCTCATCTAAACTATTTCCCACCATTATACCATATTCCACCACTAAATAAAAGAAAATGATGAGAAAGGCCAACAAGTCAAAATATGGCGGCGTCTACTGCTGATGGTGGCCAATCATTAGCTCTCATTTGAAATCCTTTACTATCTAGACAATATTACGATTCCAGACCAAAACTATTTGATATGACGTTGTCTTTTAGTTAACATTAACTCTGAACTTCCTGGTATATATAAAATACTAAATAAAGACCAGCAGACAGTCCCTATGCCTGAAGAAGGGTGACTGTTCCCAAAAGCTTGCCCAGAACTTTTTTCCAACTACTCAGTTGGTCTAATAAAAGATATCACTTCTACTCAAAGAAATCTGCCTACCTAAATGAATAAGTACATTTTACAAAGAAACACCAGGAAGTACAGAATTAATGTTAACTTTAAAAGACAAACAAATAGTTTTAGTCTCTCTCCTTCAATTTAATAAAATTTTAGTCTGGAAATTCCATTCAGAGAAGGGCAAAAGGGACCATTAATGTAGTCATCACATCGGCAAAACCAGCCTTAAGACATCTAATTAACCTTAATAGGTGCCTGAAAAAAGAACCCTCTTCCTTCCTGTTGATTTCCTGATAGCTGCAAGAAAGGAGCAGAACTCATGCAACATCATGAGGGCTAAGGGTTCTCTTACAGCAAGTGCCTCAATACTCCTTCAGGCTTCCACATCTCCTTCTGCAAGCCTGATTAGGTAGCTTGCTGGGCCTCACCAAAGCCTCCCACAGCCCTAGAAGCACACAGGGGACACAGAAGTCCAAGTCCCTAGGGCAAGCGTCAGTAGGTTTAAACATACTCCATAACCAAAAGAAGGCTCATTCAAGGGCCTTTTGAAACCAGTGATCATAAGGATACCTGTAAGAGCCCCTTCCTTCATTTGGCAGGCCTCGGGGAATTGTTCAGAAGCAAAACCAACCACCTCTCCCACCTAATAACCTTCAATAAGGCAACCCAACTTGGGGAAATTTGGAATTCAATTTTAAATTTCCACCCAGTAATATCTACCAAGCCTGCTAATGCTAACAGACCACTGGGCTGGTTACTAAGACTACCACTGAAACCCTAAAGTTTTCTGAGTGCAACATTATGGCTCCTTTCACAAGACCACTGCAGAAGGTCCGTAACAGGCCTCTTAGGCTGTCTATACCGGGGCAGGCAATTATTTCAGGTGCAGGGCCACTTACTGAGTTTTGGCAAGCCATTGAGGGCCATATGACAAGCAGCCAGGGGTGGATAAATATTAATTTTCTAAATTTTGTAGGGGCCCTGCAGGCTACATCCAGCCCACAGGCCACATTCTGCCCACCCCTGGTCTATACTATGATGGCAGCAGTTCTCACTGGGAGCAATTGGGTGGCATCCCATTCTCACACTTAGAGCCAAAAATTTACTTTTAAGGCTGCTTTACAATTGTTCCAAGGGAAAGTCTCAACCACACCAGAGGCTGAAGTCTCAGCAGAGCTGCAAAAGGAAATCCCAGATTCTAAGGTTTCTAGAGGCAGTAGAATATTTTTTTGGTAGTGTTTCCCCACATCCCTTTCCCACATTCATGCTTCCCTCCCATTTCCACAGTACATTCTTCTAAGCTGCAGACAATTTCCCAGGTTCTTCTCCTGCCCAAACTTCCTTCTTGACTTTTTCCTAATGTCCAAAAGGAGAGGCTGCCAAAAGGCTGCAGGGTCAAAGTATGCTTTGCCGCTGTTAGAGATTAATCCCATTAAGTAACTTTTTAATTCTAAATATAAGTTTCATCATAAAAGAACTTTCTCCGATTCATTTTTATATAAAAGCCCTTTTGGTGTTGTGTTTATATTTTGAGCTTAGTAAAAAAAAAATGAAATCTAGTATTCTACTGTGCATCAGTGTATTAGTACTATTTTTTATGCACCACTTTAAATGTGCAGTAGAATAGGCTACTGAACATTAAAGCGAACACATACATATACCTGCAGGAGTTTAGCTACAATTTTAATTATGGAGTGATTACTGCTACTCTCTAAAATCCAATTAAATATGATCAGGAAGCTAATACACTCTGTAATATCTTCTGTAAGAGGTCTTCCTCTCCTTACTTGTTATAACAACAGGTTTAGGATTGATGCAACTTAAATGTTTTTGTAGTGAAAATTAAAAAGAGCCCATCTCAGAGGACTCAAGGACACAAATCTGAGAAGAGCTAGTTTATTATTTCACACACACAATTCATTTCAACTATGCCTCCTTACCAATGCTCAGCACCACTGTTTTTAGCCTGTTCAGCTTCTTGTAAATGTCTTGTAGCAGCTGCAGCCAAAGCAGTTGCACTCTCATTCTGGAAGTCAGCAGCCACAGCCTAGATAGAAGTGGAAGTTATTCATTCTTAGTCCTTATATCAGTTTATTTTGAACAACATTTTTGCTGCTGCTGTAGCAAACTGACTTGTAAAGATGGCACATAAGGGACAGTAACAAGAACTAGCTTGATTTAGGCTGCAATTCAATACCATTAGGGTTTCATAGTTTCTAGGGTCGGAAGGGACCTGAGAAGATCATCTAGTCCAACCCCCTGCCATGGCAGGAAAGAGTACTGGGATCAAACGACCCCAGCAAGGTGTTCATCTAACCTCTTCTTAAAAACCCCCAGGGTAGGAGCCTGCACCACCTCCCTTGGAAGTTGGTTCCAGACCCGAGCCACCCTGACCGTAAAATAGCGCCTTCTGATGTCTAACCTAAACCTACCCTCTGCCAGCTTGTGACCGTTGTTCCTGGTCACTCTTGGCTGTGCTCGGGGGAACAGTGACTCCCCCAATGCCTTCTGATCCCCCCGACCCCCCTTCTTTAAAAAAAAATGAAGCACATTTCTTACCAGCAACAAGTCTTGTGCAGCAATCCTTACTGTATAGGAAAATGTGTCGTCATCTTCATCCTCCACAAACTGCTGTGGATTTGCAGTCCAGACTTTTATCTGAAGAAAAAAAAAAAAAAGGGGGGGGGGAAAGAAAAA